GGCGCAATACGTGGAGTACATTTTGAAGAAGGGCAGCAGCTTCATGAAGGCGGGCAGCATGCGCTCGCCGACCACGGAGGGCTCCAGGCCATCCTCGCGCGCCGATGCGAGCTCGGCCTCGACCTGGCAGTGCACCGCGCGGCTTAGGCAGGGGTCTTGGCTATCCGCGGCTAGCTCTCTCTGCCTCGGCCTGGGAGTGCATCATGTTGATTTGGCCGAGGTTGGCAAAGAGGCGGCTGTGCGTCTCGTGGTCGAGGACAGCGCTGAGAGGTGCCATCAGGTGGTCGCAGCAGTAGCTCATGTCGGCCAGGTAGTTCGCCTCCGTCTGCAGGATCTCCTCCAGCGCGAGGCCGAGCAGCTTCTGCCGCTTCTCGCGTTGCAGCTGCTCGGCGCGCCTCTCGGCCGCCGAGCTCTCATCCTCGCGCAGCGTGGCACGGAGCGACTTGATCTCGTTGAGCACGTCCAAGGCGCCGCCTCCCCCTGTCGTTTGCCGCGCCCCTTTCGACCTTCCCTTGCTCCCCTCGATCCGCACCTTCTTGAGTTCGCTCGGCTTGAGCGACGAGAAGAGGTCGGTGCTCGAGGAACCGGCGTCGGACAGGAACGACTTGAGAGTGTCGAGGCTGTCCGAGAGCTTGCGAGTTAGGCCATCTATCCCCTCCGATATTGCGTCCAGATAGCCCGCTTCGCCGCTGGCACGCGCCACAGCCTTGTCCTCGTCGGTCGCGACGCTGCCGTCTTTGTTCTCTTCGCCGCTGGCGTCGTCGCACGGAGTGCTCGACGACGGGACGTTCGGCTCAGAGACGCGTGTGTTTTGCTCCGTCCGAGGCCAGAGCATTTGGCTCTGCTGTGGGCTCCGAGACGCGTAACGCGTTGTGGTTTGTGTCGCGCGAGCCGCCCTGGTCGTCCGTCCGGACCGGATTTTGTTTTTTTTCTTCCGGCCGCGGAAAAAAAAAGAACGCTGTGGGGTCCGGGCCTGCTGCGGCGGCGCGGCCGGTTGAGGCCGGGCTCGGCCCGGCCCGCGACGGCTGGCCGCCGACGAGCGCGCTCGCGCTTCTCGTCAAAATGGCGGCGGTGTCGATTGCGGCGACGGTCGTTCACTCGTACATACAGCGCTCAGTCGTCTGTCGTCTGTCGTCTGTCGTCTGTCGTCTGTCGTCTGTCGTCTGTCGTCTGTCGTCTGTCGTCTGTCGTCTGTCGTCTGTCGTCTGTTGACTGTTGTCGCATTTCGCACACGCGCGCGCCGCGCGACCCGCGTCGCTCCGCGAGGGCATGAGCCTTCCGCGATTCGATCCCGCAGCCAAAAGCTGCTCGCTCGCCATCGCGGCCGCAGCTGTTGAGCTCTCTAGAAGACTGGTGCCTGATATGCTGCCTCCCTGCGGTTGCTGCCGGCGAGCCTGGCGGTCCGCTGTACGACAAGGATGTGCTGACTCGATTCTACCTCGAATATCTTCTACCTTTACGACTCGGAACGCGAATGTGACAGGACCATCGGGTCCTTCAGCCACCAAAGCGAGATCACCCGAGAGCAGCTGAGTCTGCCTCTGGCCTCGCCTCCCTCTCCTCCAGGCATTCGTGGCATCCTATGGGTCGTCCAGAGTATCGACCTCTGGCTTGTCAGTCGCGGTCTGTCACTTGATGACCCCCATGAAGTACAGCGATCGCCACCTCGCTGGCCTCTCCGCAAGGCCCCCCGACCGCGTCGAACTCATCGGCGCGGGCTCTCTTGGCTCCGCCTACGGGACCGGCCCCAGCTTCGGCTGAGGGCTAACAAGCTGCCGAGCCCAAATCACTTGAGAGTCGTGATTTCTTGTTGGCCTTCAAAAAAATCTCTCTCTCGGACTCTGAAGAAACATATCACGGAAAGGGTGACCTAGAAACCGGGAATGTACGTCAGAGCCACATACACTGAGAGAGAGAACACGCGAGGGCGTGTTCTCTAGTGAGAGGGGAGCCACATCTAGAGAACACCCCTCTCACTACTCGTCGCCCTGAATGGTTGGGCAAGTTGTGGAGGACACGATCCCGGCGTGAACACGACTAACTGGCGGATCCGCTCCTGACAGAGGCATGCACCGCGCCGCGGCGCGTGCCACTGTCTTTGTTTGAAGTAAAAAGTCGAATCAGAGCGGTGTCGGCGTTGTCCTCCATTTTCCTCCCCTGGGCCCCCGTCCGGGACCGCTCCGGGACGCACGCCGGCGAAGCACCATCAAAAGCTGTTGTACGGCTCCGGCATCGCCTTCCCAGGCTTAGCTAGACTAAGAGATATTGTGCATACGGTCTGTCTCTACAATATACTCACTGACACTCTACCTCCCAGAGCTCGTCCCGGTCCATCACGGCCATCCTCGTCCTCCGGGGGGCCCCCGGCCGCGGCGCGGTGCGGCGGCGTCACAAATCCGACCACAGAGCACCGGGACGCGGTCGGGCGATCTGAGGTCCAACTAGGCGTATGGATTGCCCATCCAGTGCTATCACCTGGACCCATCAACAGGCGCCTGCGGCGCCGTGGTCACGAGGTGTTGTTCACACTTGCCCAAGCATAAAAAAAGGGGAGCGAGAGACTCTCGCGTGTCAAAATTATGAGCCGCCCTGGCGGCCTTGGGCTCGTCCCTCGACATGGCCGCCTGCTTTCTTGATCTCGGCGAGCCGTCATCCATAGACCTCGAGCCGTCATTCATGCCCGCCAGCTTTTCGACCCTTCCATTCGAACTCCAGCGCCTCGTCTTGGAGTCCGTGACCTCGCCGCTCGACCGCGCTGCCGTTCTCGCTGCCGTTCTCTTGGGGCAGTGGGAGCCTCACGAGCGTGCCGCCTTCAAAGCCCTGTTCGAGCGCTGGTCGTGTCCG